TCATTATCCTTTTGTGAGTTCCTTTATTCATAGCTATATCAAATATTCCCTTGCCTTATGCAATTTTTTCCCATCATTTTTCCCCAGTTCCTTCATTAACAAGACTTCTTTTCAGATATGCTGAACTCAGTCCCAGTTTATCTTGTAAATGAAGATCAGATACTTTGCTTTGTTTTACGTTTAGAGCCTTTGGGAAGAAGGTTCATGTGCGGACAGAGGTGGGTGTGTATGGTATGAAGGTACAACCAGCTGGTGTAAATGTGCTTACCCACTCCACTTGGTGTCTGACTCCCACCCTCCAAGTCTAGTGCCTCCCTCAGTCGACAGCCTCTTACAGAATTTATAGCCTTATTAAATTTACAGGTGCTATTAAGCTTACAGCTAGATATCTGTTGGAGACTCTTCCTCAGCTGGGGTTTTAGTTAAATTTCAGTTTCAGGGGAAAGATGCCAGCTTTTCAGAAATTTTGCTGAAGTGTAAATAATAACTAATGATTCACTCTGGCTGTCTGTAGCTAGGGCTGCTTGCAGCATGATGTGAACAGTCACAGATGAAAATATGTTTATTTTTTGCCAGGGGGTATAAATAGCAGGTTTTTAGAATTCCTTTGTATACAGATATTCTTAGCATATACAACTGGCCTTTTGAAAGTTTAATAGCTTTGAATTTATTACGCCATTCTGACCAAGAACATGCAGGAAGTGCGTGTACTTATATCATTATGCATACACAGATATTGAGGGTTGTGTTTATTTAAGTCAGGACTCTGAAGTTAATGGCCTCCTCAGTGACTAATTGTGCGCAGTAACAGAAACGTGTAATAGATCATCTCAGACTGAAAAGCTTCTGACCCGAGTTTCTGAAGACCAAATTTACTTACGTAAAGTTTTCTGCTTTCATCCATTGGGATGAAGACTCCACCTAAAGGAGGGTGAGGGAAGTGGTCTGTTTTCCCTGGCTTTCCTTCCAGGAGTTGTCTGGACAGCCTGTGTTGTGCAGCCTGGAAAGCTTAGAGGACTTATGGGCATGAAGGGAGGACCAAAAATTAGTTGTCTGTCTGAGAGCAAGGGAGTGACTCTGCCACTCATAGAAGGACCAGTTTATCCCTATTTCACAAGCATAACCCTTCATTTACTATGTTTTGAAATAGATATCAAGACGACAGCTGTGAGAAAAGGCAATGAATATGTGATAAATGGTGGCAAGATGTGGACTACGTCCGGGTGCCAAGCAGACTGGATGTGCCTGCTGGCAAACACCAGTGAAGGACCTCCCCATCAAAATAAATCTCTCATATGTCTGCCGATGAATCTACCTGGTAATAACCCAGAACTCTTTCTCTCCTAATTTGATTTTTATTGCTGGTTTTGTGTATAGCCAATACAAGAAGGAAGGGTGTTTGACAGAAAGGACTGCACCTACAGATGCTCTTCTAAGGCAGGTGTTTCACTGTCATACACAGTTGGTTCTAAAATGCATTTGCACACCTCCACAGAAAAGTAGGGGACAAGAGGAAATGGGAAGGAAGTTAAATATTTGCAGACTTCAGCTTGTGACTCCCAAATAATTTTATGTGGAGAGTCCTTTTCACCAAAAAAAAGTAATAAAAGTTGCTGAGATACGTTTGCATGGGAAGATTTTGTAACATTCTGTGAGAATGAATAGACAAGTCAATGCCAACAACAAAATTAATGCCTTAAAGAAATCATTAAAGATAGAGCCAACATTTTTTTGGAAGTTACAACATCCAATGTCTTTTAGCTTTGGAGAAGTTCCACAAGACTTTTTCTTGGTTTTCTGTCCCCAAAAGGCATGAAGATGCAAACAGTCCACAAAATAAATAACATCTTACTCTACCTACATAGATCTTTGCTACATATGAACTACATGTAAAATGTTCTTAAATTATCTTACCAAAATAGCATTAAACTCTTTGCTGTTTTGTACGAGGACTGGTAAACAGAATTTTTTTTTTTTTTCAATGAGCAAAGAAGTATTTTTTAAGCTTGCTGTCTTCAGAAAATATTGAAGTTATTCTTAAGTGTGAAAATAAAAGGATAAATAGTTTAGAGATTGCAAATTTGGGAAATAGATGGGGAATACTTCCCAAAACAATGTTATCCCACATGCCAACACCTGCTTCCCAGGAGCCCATGGGCAGTTTCTGATTCCATTAGGGCGGGTTTACTGACCAGCTGTTTTGAATACTAAAAGGATGCAATGCTGTGCTGTGGTTGTATTGTGTGGATGGTCCTGATCTTCATCTGAAAGCTGTCCTCACCACCCAACCCAGGTGGGGGTGCTGAAGAGAGGTGCAGGTATGCCCAGGGTGCTTCATGGCGGTGCTCTGCAAAGGGATCTTTTTGCCAGGGTGCTACTATGATTGTAGTTTAGTCTGTGAGTTAAATGTGGGCTGGAGTGAAAGTTTCAAAGATCGTAGAAGGTAGGGATTTGGTTTTGAAGAAGACTCGTAATTTGTGGGAAGGCACTGAAGAAATACATCCTGATCTAAGCATACAAATTTCAGGCGTACAGTCCACACAGTGTCTGTTCCTGAGTAGTTTGCAGACCTTGCAGCAATAATGTGCTGTATGCATAAAGGTCATCGTTCAGGGAGGATACAGTCAAGGTTCTGTTGGTGGGGAACTGATGCAGTTTTAATGCTCGTTTAAAAGTTTTTAAACCTCTCTTGGTTTTCCCTCATTTTTATATTTTAAAAAATATGTAATAGGTAGGTTAATTTAATTTATAATGTATAATACCTTTTGACACATATTTTAAATATATAATATCTATTTGGTATATAATAATGTATATTAATGTACTAAATGAATATAAAATTGTAAAACATATGGCACTTTTGTTCATTCAATTCAGAGTATTTTACATACAAAATACATGCCATTATCAGCACTTCACATGTAGGGACACCACCACAGCAGTGAGGTGAAGGTCCATATGTTCACTTAATGGATCAAACTGAGAACAAAACCCAGGTCTCCAATGTTGCAAGAGAGAGTGATGAGAGCTACTTAAGAGAGTGTCTTGTAAAGTGAATTTCAGTATGGAGTAAGTCAAGGAAGTGAGTTGCCCTGGGAATTAATAAAGTTCTGAGTGGATTCTGCGTTTCTACAACCTCTGCTCATGCAAGACAGGCTTTGAACGGGAGATTACAGGAGATGGACCTGACCTGCTTTACTAGTTGTTGACTTTGTCCTTACTGGTATGTGATGAGTGAACATGTAACTCAGAGGAAGAATCTCCCTGAATTTCCAGGTAAACTCACTTATCAGCCATCTGCATGAGGTCCTCCTGGTGAGTTTTCATGAAAGGGTCAGATGTAAAGACAATACAACTTCTCTGAGATCAGCTTTCCAAAAACAACAAAGCAGCCAACCCACTCTTAGAGGCAGATCAAATATACAGAGATTGACTTGTGGGTTTTGAGCTACTTTGATTGTTCCAAAAAGACATGCAAGTTATTGTAGCTGTGGGGAGAGGGTGTGGGGGGTGTTGTTAGGTCACACAGCATATACACAGACCTTCTTTACTGGCAGTAAATAGATTTTGAGTAGAAAAATCACCTCAGTCACCTGAAGCTAATCTGCAGAAATGTCAAATTCTTCCTACGAGCAAAAATTGCACTCCTCAAAGTGTGTATGCTTTCATTCTTCTGTGTGATACAGATACTGACCTCCAAAAGGGTCACTGTGTCAAAATTGGTGACCTTTTGAAATGAAGTATAAAGACAGTTGATTGTGCTCTGTGGGTGGGTCATCAGATGTGAGATTTTTCACAAAGACAAAGAGAGGTATGAAAAAGGCTGCCATTTGACACAGATCTGAGGAGGAAGCCCCAGATGTTTTGATACATCCTAAGGATGTCTGTCTGCCAAAGATTGTGCTCCTCTGAGGGCAGCAGACCAAGACTGTACGGGAAGTGTCTGGAGGACATCACTGAATGATGCACTCCCAAGCATCTATAGATGTATGTGTGTCAGAACTCGGGAACGAGGGCAATGGAGAATGAGTGTGTTATGTCTGACTAACTGCTGCAGTCACCAGCCTATATGGCAGGGTAAGGAAGGGATCCACGGCGCAGCGATATCTCATTCCTTGCTAGCAGCTGGAAGGACATGGGAGACTAGTCCAGCATTTCTTGCAAAAATCTTAATTGTTTTGTACTTTTATAATGTGGTGATAGGAAAAAAAATCCATGTCTGAAAGTGAAATTTCAATAACTTCAACAAACTTTAACAACTGGTAGTTTGTTCGAGAGAGAAAGTAGGATTTACTACTTCTAATTTTAGGTGTGTACAGTGTCCTGGTGAAGGAAATCATGGTCTCATGAAGGGAGTTTGGATAATGGCAGTGTGGATTTACAGTAGATACCCAAATTAGGTGAATACTCCTCATACTAACAGTGTCTTAAAAAAATAATCTGAATTTCTCATATGGTGAAAGAGAATCTAACAAACTGCAAAATATCTGTGTGTAAGATGTATAGGCAAATGGCTTGCAGCCCTCATCTGGTAACTACTTGTGCTCTGGTTTGTCCTCTGAGTCCTTGGATAGCACTAGGATAGATTGCAAGGAGGAGTTTATAAAGAGAAGAGTATCCAGAAAAGGGGAAAGAGTCTGTTTCTCAGGTTGCAATTTAAAATGTGCCTCTTTCCATTTGTAATGGTGCTAAACAGTGTCAGGAGAGAGCAACTGCCTTTCTCTCAAAATAGAGTATAGGAAATAGAAGGGATTGTCAGAAGGCTGGAGGAGTGGGAGAAAATGAAAAATCAAAGATGCCTGGGAAGAACTGCTCAGGAAGAGATCTAGCAATCCATCTCGGTGATACTGGTGCGAGTAGCACAAATGGCTCTGTTAGAATGATTTTAGTAAGTCAGGCACTTTGCCTTGCTATGTTGAGATGTGTGTGTTATTGGATGGCTTGTGATGTATTTAATACAGACAAACTCCAGGAGTTATCTGGGCAGATGATTTCTACTGCTGCTGGTATTTTTTAGTACACAGTACCCCTTATGAAGAGAATGAGGATAAATAAGTAAAGGAAGATTTTGATGCCCCTATTGTAGCCAAAGAGATGATTACTTGTCATTGTCTTCAAAAAAGAGAAAATGTAGAGCATTTGCTAGCAACAGAGAGGGTATTACACGAGGCTGATGCAGTTTGGCCTCTTTCTGAATGAGAAACATGGATTAATGGAAGAGGAAGTAAAACTGGGTAAGGCACAACAAAGGAGAAATGCTGCTGGATTCAGGAAACTTGCACACACAACCCAATCTGCAAGAATTATGGATAGAATAATTTAGCTCCTCTAACCAAAACTGTAAGAGCTTTCTTCAATAGCTGCTCTGTGTGGATCTGGAGAAGTAGACAACAGGATTGATTTAGCAATGTAAAGAGCTGGCAACAGTTGTACTTTTTCCAGCAGAATCCTTAGTAAACCACCTACTAATGAGAGCAGTAAGTGCATCTTTATATGGGTGAGGAGCAGTGATTACATAAATTCAGCTGGAAGTAAACTAAAGACAAGATCTCTGAGACTCTCAAAGAAACCAAGCAGTAATATTCCAAGAGGAAAAGATGTTCCAGAAATCATTTGGGCCTGTAAATGATTCAGTGTGTGCTTGTTTAGCTCTGAATTTAATACAGAAACAAACCACAAATGCTTTTTTGGCATGACTGGTGCAAATTGCTGGATAATTTTCAATCCAAGAGTGAAAATTTCTTACATAGCTGTCCAGATTTTCTTCCTGCATTGAACACATATCAAAGCAAGTGTTCCTAACACATAATATGTTTACAGATTGGCTGGTGGAGAAGAAATTTAAGTGGAAGGTGTGGAGGCCTCTGTGGACTATGTTCTGAGACTAGCCTTGGCATTTGGAAAGTGTCAGTATTTCAGCTTTGTGGAGGGATGAAACTTTCCATAACCTTATTCAATGCAGCCAGAGAGAGTGGGTTTGGAGGGAATGACCATCAACTTCTGCCTACCAAACAAAGTAATTTTTGCATGGGTGAAGGCCGCCTGTTAGTAGAAGTTGAGACATCTGGGTTAGTTCACAAAGAGATGTTTGCTGAAAGCCACGATGGATAGCAAGGTACAAAAAAGGTATGGAGAGGGACTGCAACAATCTGTGCAGTGACCAACTCCTACTAAGCCACATTAGTCTATTTTTTTTCAATCCTCTACTACTCTAAAGAGGAAATTGTTACCAGAATATCTCCTCATTACAAAACTGGTTAGAATACCATGTATGTGGATAGTAAAATGTTTGGTTTTCTGCAAAGTCGTATTTGGAGGACTATTTTTCTACATATATTGACTCGGCAGATGTTGTCAGCATATTTTGCACAAATCCTCGTACCTGGTTGTTGGCTTTAGTTTACCTTAGTTTACCTCTGAGGCATTCTTGACTTCCATCCCAAATAATTCGCATTAACCCCAGAGTGACAACTGAAGTAAAAGTTTACTGACAAGTAAAAATTGAAGACAAGGGAATTGCCACAAAAAACCAGTGCATGTCTGTTAAACTCTCATGGCACTGTGGTAAGCCATGCTTGGGTCTCAACAATAGCAAGAAAGAACTTGTAGCTAGGAAAGAAACAAACAGCAGGACGGGGTCCTACCTGGTGTAACTAGGTAGGTGAAGACTTACGTGTCTGAACCTGAGGGGTTAATCTCCAACAGACCATTGCATGTGGGGTCAGAGTCAGTGCTAGGAAGCGAGGTCTGTGAGGAAGCAAACCCTCTTCACAAGCATGTCCACATGTAAACTCAGAGGAATGGATTGTGACCATTATAAACCCTCCTATGACTACCTAGATGGACTGCACAGCATTTTGTAGGCCATCATAAAATATATAGTTTTAACAAAATTTGGAGGTCATGTGGAATTGCTGAATGTATCAGTTATGAATTTCAGCTTAATTGTTAGGAAAAGGCAGTGTGGTGTGATTATAAACTCTTTTCTACGAGTAACAGAATAAAATCAGGATAGGCTAGAAAGCCAAGGATAAATGTGGAAGAGAGGGAAGGAAGAAGATTTTCAGGAGCAGAAATTCTCTAGTTGCATCTTAAAACATAGCTCTGGTTTTGTCATTATTATATATTTCTCTACTGTTTCACAGCAGAGCAGGCATTCAGTAAATACTGCTAAATTGAATTCCAGCATTTTATTACAGTACACTAAAAATCAATCATGAGCAAATAAATATTGCATTGTTTCAAGACATGCATGAAGTAAGATTATTACTACTAGTAAACAATTACTATTTGGGTACATTATGAAAAGTGGGACCTTTACAGTTGCAGTTTCTGGGTTTCTAGTTAAATAAAATGGAAAAACTGTTAAAAATAGGGTGTGGGTCATTTTACTCTTAAATTCCAGAATACTGTTCTGGTTTTCCTAAAGGTAGGTTTCACTGTAGCCTTGGCATATACCTTCACATCTGCAATCTTTGCTGTCTTAAAATGCTCTGCTTGCGCATAATGCTTCTATTTTTTTGTGGCCTTTCTAATACTTCTCTCTCTCCAGGCATTCACGTTGCTAAAAAAATCGACAAACTGGGCATGAGGTCATCAGACACAGCTCAGATATTTTTTGAAGATGTAAAGGTCCCTAGCAAAAACCTCATCGGTGAGGAAGGAAAGGGGTTTACGTATCAGATGCTGCAGTTCCAAGAAGAGCGGCTGTGGGGAGTAGCCACTGGTAAGTCATCGCTTGTGCTTCTGGGGCTGGGCAGGGACACAGTGGTCACCCATCGCATGACTAACAGCACTTTCCTTTTATTGCAAATTGCAATGACCTCTTACTATCTGTTTTTGAAATCTGTCATAGCTGGGACACAGACAACCTTCCCTTTCTTTGGGAAAACTTGAAATAGAAAACATTTTGTGAGGCATCACAGAGGCTGGTTTTGTCTGTCTGTTTCTTGGTGCTTTTCTGATGATAAGGAAGTATGGCATCATATTTTCTGGTACAGATATAGTACAAAGGGTATCAAAATACTGCCATGAAATAGAAGGACGATGACTTTTCCTGTAGTAGAGTGAGCTATGATGTTTATCCTGGATTTTAAAAAATTAACTTGGTGGCTGTGTGAGGAAGTGGCTCTTACAGGATGTAAGAGCTTTGTTTTGTAGATCTGTTTTACCTCTATACAATTTGGACATAAGTTGTACCACAGAAAATTCCTTTCCCTGAAGTTGTGCTGTCACAGAGTTCCTGTTACTCTGAACTCAGGCCTTGAATTTGCGTATTTGAGTTGTACGGATTCTGGATATACCAGGTAACCAGATCCAAGTCTGGATTGTTCGTTTTCAGCCTCCCAGCCTTCCCCCCCCAGGCACAATATATATCCTTCTTCAACTCAGATATAATGTGGTTCACTGTAAGAAGACTGATCCTCTTCAAATTTCAGGGTTGCATAAATAATCCCACCGTATTTGTGCTCCTGTGCATGCCCTTCTCTGTAACTGCCTGTGTGTGGCTGGGGAATCGGGAACTCTTAAGAAGTGATTTTCTGATTCAGTGACCAAATAAAAAAATCACTCCCTGTTGTGGGTTGATCCCAGACCAAATATTTTAGAGTTCAAATGCTTTAAAAAAATCTTTGATTTGGGCCAAATTTCTTAGTTCAGCCTGAGGTAAATAGTAAACATGAGAGTAGCTTTAGCACAGAACAGGAGGTCAGACTGCAGGCTTGGGCAAGGAGGAGACGTGGTCCTACTGCTGGTCCTGCTTTAATTGAGGCATACACAGACTGCAAGGACATGCATTGTGCTTTTTTATGCTCAGTTTGACCTAATTAAACAAAACAATCAGAAAGTCTGGATTGCAGTGATACTCCCCAGGCAGCAGAGTAGCCCATAGCATTAGTCATGTCCTAGACAAGTGACGCGCACTGACAGCATCCAAATACAGCCTGGCAGGTTAGATCACTCCTGTTAAAACCACTGGCAGCTTGGTACTGTCCAACCTTGCACAACTGCCCGGCAGTCACTGTGCTCTGCCAGGAAGTGGGACATCAGGTTTCAATTCTTCTTTTTGCCCAGAACAACACAGCAGGAGCAGGCAAACCCTTGCCCTGGATGAGCAGTCTGGGAAGGGCATCTTCGGTCCCCCTTCCCTGGCCTGGCAGGGACCGTCAGGGAGGAAGAACCTTGGAGCTCACCAAGGAAGGGTGAACTGCCTCCTGCAGTGTGGTGGCCAGTGTGTTATACCTTGCTGGCCCCCCTGGTTTTGCTTTTATCTATTGTGTCTGAAATAAAATCCATGAAAGTGCTGGGATTGGGGGTAAGACCCATGGTTTGGGCCAAATTGCAAACTTCAGAGGTAACCAGTTGTGGTAAACAAGAAAAGAGAGCAACTGATGTTCAGCTGGGAGCCAAGTGCTTGATGGATGCGGTTTGTTGCACCACGACATCTACCTGCAAATGGTTTTACGTATGTTCAACCACAAGTGTTTTGCGAAAGGCTCATATGTGCAAAATTACATACATGCCTTCGGTAGTTCTGCAATTAGGTCTGCATGTATAATCCTAGTTGTCACTTCTGGCCCTCAGAAGGACATTTCTGTTCCGTCACGGTTCATGACTCTTCGTGCGGCATTGAAAACTGTCAATCTGCTTTTAAACACTTCAGGGGCCAGTCCTGGCATCCTTGCTTTCACTGCTTCCTAGAACTTGGAAGAGGCAGTTGACTGCCATTATTTTTTTTTCTTTCCTTTTTGGTCTTTGTTTTGTTTTGTTGTGTTTGCGGGAGGGGTTTGTGTCAGTTTTTGTTTTCATGTATTTTTAATTTCAAGTATCACGTGCTCCAGCCATCTCTTTGTTTATTAATTATCTTCTTTGTGGCCATATTTCAGAACATGCAGGGAGTTTCCTTCCTTCTTCACCTTTTTTTTTTTTCCTTTTGAAATGAATTTACAGTCAAACAGATTTAAAATATAAATGGAAAACTGATTTCCTGGAATTGCAAAATTTGGTCACAGGTGTGGTCTTTTCTTCTGAGTGACACATTATCAAATGCATTGGTAAAAGTCACTCTTTCTTGCTTCATTGAAAGAGAAGAGCTGCCAAGTATCTCTCCCATGTTGTGACACTTGGTAAACACTGTCCATTTGTGGACCTGTTGCACTGATCACAGGAAAAGAATGTTGCTATGGCAAGAAAGCAAACAATTTTTTTGTGAATTGCTTAACTTGGAGGCAAAGAGAGAGTTCAGTGTATGTGAGAGAGCAGAATGGTACTTTTCTAATTACTTCTATCTGCTCCTGTAGTCTCAGTTTTATAAGCAACGTTGAGTCATGGCCAGTAAGCAGGATGACAGATCCTTTTGCATGGGCAATGCATGTCCTTAAGACACAGAGTGCTCAGTTGAAGATCACTGTATATCTCACTAGAGAATGATTAGCTGCAGCCTAAGAAAAATGTATTAATTTCCTTTTTGTTTTGAGAGACGGAGCAACGCAAAGTGTGTTCACAGTGAGCACAAGTTTTAAGTGGAAAAATGTAAGTTGGATGGAGGTATGAGGAAAAGATTATTCCGTGTCTGGCAACTTCAAGTGCTTTCACAATTCTCGGCTGTGTGGTAGATCAGGCGTTCCTGCATGTGCTGTCAGTTGAAAACTGTGGGGCCAAGTTTATCTGAGGATGTGGAGAACATTGTATGACAAAAGAGGAAACAAATATACAGCACACACACAAAGGTCAGAGAGAAAATGAGTTTCACTGTTACAAATGGCATTTCTTTGTGCTTCCTATGACTGGCAAAATATTGTGTCCTGTTATGTTGTACAAGGCTGTTAGCAGTCATGGTATTCGTGACGTGCTGCTTTTCATTGCTGTTTGTGGCACAGCTTTGGGTTGGAAGGGACCTTTAATGATTGTCATGTTCAACCCTGCTGCCATTGGCAGAGACACCCTCCACTAGACCAGGTTGCTCAAAGCCTCATCAGCCTGGCCTTGAACACTTCCAGGGATGGGGCATCCACAGCTTCTCTGGGCAACCTGTTCCAGTGCCTCACCACCCTCAAAAGGAAGTTCTTAGAATCAGGGAATAGGTGGGGTTGGAAGGGACCCTAAAGATCACCTAGTTCCAACCTCTAAACATTCATCCTTATGTTCAGTCTAAATCTAGCCTCTTTCAGTTTAAAACAGGTGCCCCTCATCCTCTCCCTACATGTTCTGGTAAAAGTCTGTCTCCATCTTTCTTATGAGCCCCCTTTATATGCTGAAAGGCCGCAACAAGGTCTTCCCGGAGCCTTCTCTTCTCCAGGCTGTGTCTCAGCCTTTCCACATAAGAGGTGCTCCAGCACTCTGACCATTTTTGTGGCCCTCCTCTGAACCCGTTCCAACAGGTCCATGTCTTTTTTTTGTACTGTGAGCCCCAGACTGATCTTATATAGCGCATGGCCTAGCCCTTCACTTCAAGACTGGTTTGCCTTGGAAAAGAGACTTTTCCCTTTTCTTCTTGTTTAAAACATGGTATCTCTAAATTTGCTCAAAAAGTAGCAGCAAACTATGACTCTCGTTCTAAAGTAGTGTCTGCCATCTCTCTCACCTGTCTTCCAGCAGTATCCTATTTTGATTTAGAAATGGTCTTTCCTTTAGAAAGACTAAAGACCTTTTTATTTTAGTCTTTCCTTTAGAAGCACTGTTTAGCATTTACTAAAAGTGGCTGTGAATCTTAATGTTTTTCCCTTCCTTTCTGTACTGAGATCTGATCACAGAATGCAGATGTAGTAAGCAGTCTGTTCATGTTCCTTGATAGATATTCCTCTGAATAGGTTTCTGCCTTCTCCCTGCAAGCTTCCTTGAATTTACATTTCTACAGCATTCATCAGTGAGCGCACTGTCTGCCTTCAGATTTTCTTTCAGGATTTTGAGAGACCTTCAGGACACAGGTAGCATGGGAAGCAGGAGTTGCCACAAGCTTTTGCTAGAGCCCCACATGAGGAACAAAGGATAAAGTTTACATACTTGTCATTACATACTGCCCTCTATGACTTTCCTTCCCTCCTCTCCACCCCCCCTTCACTCTCCTCCAAGTTTTGGCAGTTTGGGGCTCAGGTGAAATAGGGATAAAGGAGGTCTTCAAGGCACAAGGAAACACCAGACATCTTTTTCAGAATTGAAGCTGTGCCCCCAAATTGAGCGTATGGAATAATTTACTTAAGAAAACCTAATGTATTGTTTGTACAATGTGAAAAAAACATCTTTTTCAACAAGAAGGAAACCCAACAGGTCTGGCTAAAATGATGTCTTGTTCTGTGCTTTGCTTCTTCAAGTCCTGACACCGCTGGAAACTATAATACAAGAAACTATTGACTACACTCGCCAGCGGAAGGTGTTTGACCAGTCCATCCTGCACAACCAAACCGTGCATTTCCGCCTGGCTGAGCTGGCAACCGAAGTGGAGCTCCTTCGCTCCCTGCTGTACCGCACCATCGGTGAGCTCCCACATCTGCCGTCCCAGATGTGCTTCTCTTCATGCAAAGGACGTTGTCGGGCTAAAGGAGCACGGGGAGGTGATTGCCAGAGACGCAGGCAGTGACCACATGTGTATCACACTGCTTTCTTCTTTCTTTTTTGTTTTAAGCTCTCTATGTAGAAGGCAACGATGTGACAAAACTTGCTTCCATGGCTAAGCTGAAGGCGGGTCGTCTGGCCCGTGAAGTGACTGATAGCTGTCTCCAGTTCTGGGGAGGAATGGGATTCACCAGCGAGGTTCTGGTGAGCAGGTTTTACAGGTAAGCAAGTGAGTGCTGAAAATAGGAAATGGCTGTACTGAAATTTGGCCTCTTACATGTCCTGCTGAGAGAAACATTGGAAAAGGGCACCAGCTCCTATCCTGGTAGGAACAACGGTATTGTTCCACTGAATGGCATGCCACTGATGTACGCTGTGGATGCCCTTACATCCACAGGCCCACTGACGTTGGGCTGACACTTGCACGTGTCAGGACGTAGGCTGACTATTCCTTTACCAAATTTCGGCTTTGCACTACAACTGTGTAGTTTGAACTACCCACAAGTTACCTTGAATGTCAAGAGAAAGAAGTAAACTCCATGTTTTCCCTGATGCTCCTCTGGCAGCTGACAGATGATGAGACAAGAGAAAAAAGGGGAAGTCTATCAACAAGATGGTTTTTTGCTCTTTCTTTGCTTATAGTCTTGATTACAAGAACAGAACTAAGACAAAACAGAATCTTTCTTCCAAAACCAATGAATTTCCCCCCCCTCCACCCCCCC